CCCCCCCCCCCCCCCCGTGCTGACTTAAGTTTGGCTCTTGCATCCACATAACACCCCCCTCCCCCACGGGCCTCTGGCGTGTCGTGGGGGTTGTTGAACTTGTTTCCAGTTCATTCTAAACTGACCATTTTGGGTGCTGCGATAATGATGGTCGCCTACCTGGGAGGGTCCCAAAGCTTGGGAATCATTTTTGGGGAGCACCAGGGGTGCACACGGCCTCACCAGCCACCCTCAAGGGCCAGCACATATGTGTTCTGGAGGGTGCGGGACAAATGGGGCTGATAATATGCAGCTGGGGACAATCCAGTGCGGAGAAGGGAGGAAGTTTTAAATGGCGGAAGGGGCGGATCTTGCTGAAAGGCCTTGGTTTCCGGCTTCAGTGGCGGGAGGGTGTGGCTTTGACCGGAAGACAGAATCCCTTGACCAGAGAGGAAGGCAAAATGGGGGGTTGAGGGCAGTGGGTAACCTGCCTCGTCCCATCAGGGAGCGATGGTGGTAGGGAGTTAGGACTTAGGGATAGGCTCATGAAGGAGCCCCTGGGAAGGGAAGGGCAGTGGGTCCGAGCCCCGGTTCTAGTGACCCTATCGTCCACACGCATGGCCTCTGCTGCCGTGTCTCCCGCTGCTCCACCAGGGCAGGAACCTTTTCGAGAAGGGCCCCATGTTGGCCGAGTAGCTGTAGGTTGGGAAGACAGGGTGTCTGCTGGCCTCGAGTCTCCCAGCTTGGGAGGATGGGCCTCCACTGGTGGGCCCTGAGTCTCCACGGGCCCCCTACAGGGCTTGGAGGCTGCCGATGGTGACCCCAGTGTGCCGCCCTATGACACGGCCCTTATCTACGACTACGAGGGAGATGGCTCCGTAGCGGGGACGCTGAGCTCCATCCTGTCCAGCCTAGGGGACGAGGACCAGGACTACGACTACCTCAGGGACTGGGGGCCCCGCTTCGCTCGGCTGGCAGACATGTACGGGCACCAGTGAGGGACCGTGTCTGTTGGAGCAGGGTGGGGCCCTGCCGCCTAGGCCCAGCTACCCTGGCTGGGCCACCGAAAGCAGGTGTTTTCTGCTGCGGTCGCTGCCTGCACACTGATGGTCATCACTGAAAGCTGGTTGATGAGGCAAATGGGACACCAGGTGGAGGTGGCTAAAGGGTGCTAGACCTCCCCCTAGTATTGCATTCTCCCAGGGGACTCTGGACAGCAGAAGCAAGGAGACGGTGGCCAGAGGCACTGTCCCTCATCCCAGGTGGGGTCAGCACAGCCTCACTGCTATCCCTGTGGTCCTGGAGCCCCTCTCTGTATAAAAGCAGCCTCTGTAGCAGATGTGAATTAAAAGATGCTAGGAGCGGACTTGTTGGCAGCGGTGAGAGTGTCTGCAGTGTGGATATGGAACCAGAGGTGCCTGGCTTCCCAGGTGGGGGGACCAAGGCGGGGCTATGCAGAACCTCAGCCCCATCCTTTGGGGAGGCAGCCCCCCTGGTTCTGGGTTCTGGGATAGACTAGTCAGGGTGGGCAGATGACCCTGGGGCTCATGGGACAAACCCCTCCTGCCTGGGGCCTGAGCAAAGAGCTGGGCCAGGGCGCCAAGTTGCAAGGTTTCCCTTTATCCTTCACACTGATGGCTGTGACTCAGGGAGCAGACCATGGGGCCTGGGGGGGCCTTGCACCGTCTTGGTTCCTACAGCAGACTGTAGGTCTCAGAAGTTCCCCTTCCAGACCTGCACCGGGCACTCAGCCGTGCCCAGGGCGCTGACTGCTGTCCCCTTCTCCTGGCAAAAACGGGCTGACAAGTCAGGAGCAGTGCACTGGGTGGGTGTGGTCGGCCTAGTACAGGCTGGAGGGCCTCAGCAGGGGCAGGTGGTCCTGGTGGCGGGGGCAGAGGGCCCGGGATAGGGGGCTGCGGCGGAAGCCTTCTGCGTCTTGCAGCGTCTGGGGCAGCGTGCGGCCTCGGCTCTCAGGCAGCAACAGGATACAGAGCAGGGCCAGGACCGCAAAAGCAGCAAAGACCACATGGTGGAGGAAGAAGGCGAGCCGGGCATGCATATCGGCCAGGGGTACGGCCGCCTGGCCCAGGAAGCCGGTGCCCAGCACTAAACCCAGGCCTGCGCCCCTGTGGAGAGAGTTCAGTGGAAGGCTGCCTGAGTCTGCTCCGAGGAAGGGGCCAGCCTTCAGTAGTAACAGGTTGGATGGTGCAACAGAAAAATGAGTTTTTGGAGAGAACTGCTCTTTACCCTTGAATGAGTTTTGTTCTTTGTGTTAGGAAAGTAGAAAATGAACTTCCCCCATATTCTACCCTCCCTCCCTCTGTCGGTAGCATCTCTGCTGTGCTACCCCCCCACCTTCATGCAGCCCTCCATAGACCTCTGGGTGCTCACCTGGTGACGGTGAGGAAGACCTCGGCAGCAAACAGGCTGCTGAGTGTGGACACGGCCTGGGAGGCCAAGAGCCCCAGATAAGAGAGTAGCAGCGTGGTCCAGTGGGGCAGGTCTAGGGGAAGGAGAAGGTTCCGGCTGCTCAGGGCTCGGGCTCTAGGTACGCTTTCCTGACTCTGAATTGGGGCCTGCCTCACACGGGGCTCTCTTGCCTGGACAGCCGTCCCATGGTCTTGAGCACTTCTGAAGTGGATGCTGTGTCTGAGCTGGTCTAGGTGTCCTGCCTGACCCTCAGGCTACTCCTTTCTGCTAACCCACAAATGTGACTGAGCCTCATGTCCCACCCCTCAAGGCCCCCATTGTATCCCAGATTCCACCAGCCATAGTCCTCACCTGTCATGGGCCCCCCCACCTGATCCTTGGTCTGTCAGACCTGCTTCAAGGTTCCTGTTGCCCCCGGTTCACAGGGTCCCTGCATTCAGCCCTCTAAGTAGGGTCCTCTTGGTCCCCGTGTTTGGGCCTTGGTTTTCCTAGGTGTGTGAGCAGGAGGTGGGTGGGGAAAAGAGAGCCCTTTGGTGCCACCACTGCGTCCCACGTGGGGCTGGTCACCCCTCTGTATACTGGCGTGGACAGCCCGCACTCCACTTACAAGAGGACTCACACTGGGTCCCAGCGAGAAGCAGCAGGGTCACTAGGCTGGTGGCCAACATGCCCAGCATTCTACAGTCAGTAGCAGGGTGACAAAGGCTGCCGTATCCAGACCGGCCACCAGGAAGTAGGACAAATAGGAGGGTGACCCCTGGGGGGGGCTCAGGTCATGGAGGAAACTGGCTCGGATGCCCCCACCAATCAACCTGGAGGGACACAAAGCTATGGGGCCAGCCAGAACCCAGGGGCGTTAGGGTCCACATTCCCACCCCTAACCCTGTAGAGGAGAGCACAGACCCCCAGCCCACCCTCACCCTGCCCCCTCCTCACGAACTGAAGCCCAGGATGAGGCCGTTTCTCCAGGTAATCTGGGTGTGCAGAATGTCCAGGAGCGAGTGGTACCGTGGCTGGGGGCTCCCTGCGGACAGCAGGTCCAGCTCTGGGCCATGTGGGCACAGGAGGAAAGGGGAAGGGATGAGGGTAGAGCAGGCCCCGGGCTCCAGTCCTCTCCCCCAGTCTCAGGTGTCAGGCTGCCTGCCCCCCAGGCCCGTTCCCTACCTGTAGTTAGGGAATTCTCCTCATCTTTGGGGTCCATGCCATTGGCCCCTGCCAAGTGCCACAGTATCTTCTTGGCTTGGGTCAGTTGCCCGGTGGCCAGCAGCCAGGAGGCTGACTCTGGGAATAGGGCTGGAAATCTGTTGGAACCGGTATGGTCATGGCCCCAGGCGCCTCCCTCCCTCAACTTCCCCAGAAAGGTGGGCCAGACTGTTCCAGTTCCCAGCACACTTACCCCCAAACCAGCAGCAGGCTGCCTGTTAGCAGGGCACTCAGCCCCTGGAGAATGTGCCAGTCCTGAGCCAGCGTGGCCAGGCCGTGCATCAGCACAGTGCCCACCACTGAGAAGAGGCTGGCACCCACAGAGAACACCAGGCGGTGTGGGGGGGTCACACAATTCTAGGCCTGGGACAGACAGACAACTGAGGTGGAGCCCCTGGGGAGCTGGACACTGGAGGACTCCCTCTCCTCCCCTCCCGGGAGCTGTATACCCCATCAGGCCTTCTCCTTGGGGAGGACACTTCCTTTACTCACGTGCTACATAGAGGGCCAGGAAGGCCCCTGCCAGGGCCCCCCCATGGAGCAGCCGTAGGGCCAGAAGGGCAGGAAAGCTGGTGGCCAAGGCCTCGCCGGCACCTAGCCCTGTGGCCAGCACCAGTGAGCTGAGAAATACAGTTCGGCGGCCAAATCTGGAGGTCCAGGTGGCTGTGGTTAGGGGAGCCCCAGTGCAGGGCTGAGGTAGACCCCAACATTGCCCCTTCCCCAGGACAGGGACAGTGGCTCACCGGTCACAGCCCATCCCCAGGACGACAGAGCCCAGCAGCCAGCCCAGCAAGTGACTTATCTGCTCCAGAGGCACCTCCCAGCCATCGTCACACACAAGCTCCCACTGTAGGGAACACAGGTCACCTGTCACCTGCCCTTCTGAGGACCAGGACCCTCCCCTTCCCTTGTGCTGGGGATGGAGAGTTGTGAGGAAGATCAGAATCTCTGGCTAGAAGGGACCCTAGATAGCCTATCCTGCTCCAACCCCTCCTTGCAGAGAAAGGGAAACTGAGTCATGGAGCAAGGGAGAGGTTTGGTCAAGATCACTCAGTGGGGTGGTCATCATCTGGAGACCACAGGAAATCCTGAATGCAGTCCCAGAACTGGTGAGGGGGGCCGATGAGTGAGTTTCTCCCCCAGCTCCCTGTGAGTCAAGTCTAAGCCAGGCATCAGATCCAGCTCTGCACCCACCTGCCCCAACAACACTCCCTATCCTGCCCCCCTGGATCCGTTTCCAGAGGGACTCCTGAGCCTACTAGAAGGTGTGCTCAAGGGCTTTTCCCAGCACAGGCCCTTGACTTTTTCTCTCCTTCTGCCTCCACTTTTCTGAGTTCCTTTCTCTTCTTACCAAACTGAATTTGGTGTGTGAGGCTAGTTTCTGCTTTACAATGAGGTAATTTCTGAAAGCCAGTGGGCATCCATGAATTCGTGCCCCGGTGGGAGGCACAGTAAAGGTGACAAAGGGCCAGGCCAGGGCAGACACTTGGCAAGTTTCACAGCCCCAGGCAGACATAGGATGTGGCAACCTATCCAGGGGTGGGTGGGGTGAGGTGAGGGGTGAGGACTGTTCAAGGAGGCAGGCAGGAAGAGGCGCCTGGAGTCCCCAGCTGCCCAGCTGCTGTTCTGTCCATCCCTCGTTCTCCTTCCTGTCTTGGAATGGCATCCAGACACCTACATTTGCGGCTCAAAGCCATAACATTTGTCAAGATGTTTGTGGTGCAGAAGTGATTTCCAGGACACAGTTCTTGACCTCTGGTTCTGTCATCAAGGCCCAACCACCTCAAAACCCTGAGCCTCTGGGTTCAGACTGGGAGCCTGGGGCTGTGGCCTCCCCAGGGTACTCGACCGACATCTGTTCAAGCTCATGCCAAGAGGGGCCAGGATGCCCCATTCCGCAGTCATTAGCCCAGAAGGGGAGATCAGCTCAAAAGTGAGCGCCCCACTAGACCAAGGGCAGCCCCGACTCCCATTCCAACCCTGTCCTCCCCACCCCGATCCTGATCCTCGCGGCGGAGGCGGGCGCACCTGTGTGACCAGATTGTGCAGCAAGCCAGTGGCGGGCAGTTTATACTCCCAGCCGCGCGTGCAAGGCTGCGTGCCGTTGGGCTCGGACGCCGCACTCGGACTTGGGGCGCCGGCCTCGGGGTAGTACAGCAGCAGGCAGGGGCTCCATGCGCGCTCAGCTCCGATCCGCGGCACGCTGGCACGAAGTAACGCCGGCCCGTCCAGGGCACGCAGGGCGGGAGGCAGGAGCTCAGGATCCGGACGGCAATGGTGCGCGGGTCGCGCCGTAAGCATTGACTCCGAGCTCAGTGCCAGCCCTAGTACCACTCTGGGCAGCCACGAGGCCACCGCCAGCCGGCGCCGGACCCGTCCGAAGCCGCCCGCTGCGCGCAGCGCCTGCGTCTCGGGCTCGATCCGGTGTCCGCTCTGCGTTCAGGCCGCTGGGGGAGGGGCCACGGAGGGCGTGGAGGGAGGGGGAACCCGGCGCGGAGGTGCGGGAACCGTGCCAGGAGTGGAGCTCGGAGGGTCCAAGCAAGCGCAGGGCCGTAGTGAGTGGGCGGAGCTCAGGGTCTCCCGGAGGGCTGGGAGTCAGCGGGGAGGGAGGCTGCGGGTGCGTGGTCCTCCGAAGGCCGGGCCTCGTCCGCCGAGCCCCGAGCGGCGGTGGGCAGCCGTTCTGACGCGCTGGCCAGGTACGTCCCTGCCACCCATGAGCCTGCCCTCCACGGCCCGCCGCCCTTGGAAGGCGAGAGGCTGGGCTCTGCTGCCCCTGCCCCTCCAGCATGGCGTCTAGGCTCGCGGAAGGGCTGCGTCCTCTCCTTACTCAGGTGCGGGCGGGAGCGCACCCAGGGATACCCCGGGCACCCCGCGACGCCCTGGGCAACCTTCTGCCGTCTCTGACAACCCTCGACGGCCCCCAACAACCGTCGACAATATCAGTCCCCGACAATCTCCGACGCCTGGCTCGGCGTCCGCGCGTTACTGTCCCCTGGCGGCCGGCTGGCGCGCTGCACTCGGCCGCACAAACCCGCGCGGCCGCGAGGAGCGCCGGCTGCCAGAGTGATTGCCAGAGTGATTGTCGTGCATAAATCCCCTTCTGATTCATTTTCAGAGTTTTGCAGATAGATAGAGGATTATTCTGCAGGACGCACCTCAGCGTTACTTTGGACGGGCGTGGAAACTACAGACCCCTTTACACCGTTGCCTTTCCCCACCCGATACAAGAACAAGGTAGGTTTGGTTTTAACGTTGAATCTTTTCATTTCGGTCGCTTCCCATGTAGTTTGCTTTCGTTACTAGTTGTGTGTGGGCCCTGTACTTGCGTTGCATTGGTCTAATTGGCTATTTTATTTTGCGTTTACTTTATTGACTTTGGTGCATTTGGGTCACTTTGATTTCTGGACACATTACCGTGACAGTTTTATTTCATTGTTTTCCAGTTATGTATGTATCCTACAATTTGTGTCTTGCTTCTTGTCTAATTTCAATAGTTATTTCTTTCAGAAAAATATTAAATCAAAGTGGAGTTCAGTGAGACCGGTAGCCCTCACTTGAGACAGCTTTGTTTTCTGTAGACTCACATTGTTGATTGCTGTTTTGAGATGTGTGTTTTACAGTGCTAAAAAATAATCTTTTATTTAAATTTCCTCAAAGATTTACCTAAGTTCATATTGAATTCTTTCTTGAGTGGATTGTATTTGCTAGTATTTTATTTTTTAGAAACTATTTCTTGGATTAATTGATCAACGACACATTCCTACTGTCTTCAACTTTATCTAAGTGTGTGTTTATGTCGTCCTTAGGTTTTTTAAAGTTGAATTGGATGTTTTTCATTTAAACGTTTCATTTTCCCTACTTAGTAATAAAACTGTTGAGGGCTACAATGCTTAATTTCCAGTCGCACTCCCAATTTCCTAATGAGTATGAAAGTTTCTACCTGAATCCTCATGGTTTTGTTTTTTGGGGGTATAATTTCTTTTCAGTTCCCTTACATCACGTGTTAACTACATTGTGATCAGAGATGAGTCTGTGTATGGTTCATGATTGTTGGAATTCATGGGATTCCTTTTGTGGTCTGATGAGCGATGGGACAGCCAGCGTTTGCGATCTATTTGTTTAAGTCAACCTTAGCAACGTTTTGAGTTGCTCTAAACCTCTGGTGTTGTAGAGTAGGCACTGAGCTACTAACCTAAAGGTCGGCAGTTTAAACCCACCAGCCTCTGCTTTCATGAAATGTACAGTCTCGGAAACCCTGTGGAACATTCTTCTCTGTTCTCTAGGGTCACTGAGTCAGAATCAACTAGATAGCAGTGATTGGTTTCTATGTTCTTTTACTTCTCTATTTGAAATATTAATTTGTAAAGTTTGACATATGTTCTTTGAAGTCAGTTAGGGGCCATGATGAAGCCTGTATGCATGAGACCCGGTTTGGTGACTCTTGTCTGGGCTCAGCTCTGAGATTCACCCACTGGTTTTGTGCAGTCCTGTGCTCCCTGAGTGCGCCTACTGCTGGTTTATGTATTCGTCTGACAGACATCGTGGCTGTCAGGGGCGAGGCTGCTGCACCAGGGTGGCCGTTCACACACGGCTTACTCTGCAAATCCCCTTCCGCTCCAGAAACTGAGATCCTCAAAGAACCTTTGTTGATGTGGGTTACAGCTATTGATAATTACTGTATCGGAAAGTGAAATTAAGAAATTTAAATACAGATATTTATTTGCGAATAGCAACCGTAAACTCATTACTTGTTAACATAAGTAACATATTTTTATGCAAAGGGATTATGTTTTTTAAAACCATTTCATAGAGAGGCTCAGAGTCCCCGCTGTACACTTTGGGAATCTCTGTAATATCTGGCTTCCCACTTCTGCCCCTGGAGTCAGCCTGCTATGACATCACATGGTGTGGATTCTCTGAAGCTTCGAGAGTACAGAATGCCCTAGAAGGACGGCGCCCTGTGAGCCCTCAGAGAAACTCCCCCAAGCACACACTGAGAACTGCTACCTAAAGAAAACAGTAGGTGCAGGACGCTGTCCCGGGCGATGGAGTCACTCACCAAGTGCGCCCTCCAATGTTAGCTCTGGCCCTTGCCCCATTTCCCATTTGGAAAGGTCACACCTTAGTCACTTTTTAACCCTTTCAGTCATTCTTTTGCAGTAGATTTCCAGTACGTCTGTGGGTGTTGATTGATCCAAGTAAACTGAAATCCAACATCAGTTTTTTCTTCATTTAGTATGATGCTGCCTACTAGACCATTTGTGGGGATTTTTGTGTTACTGTGTTTGCTGCAAGGTTGGCAGTTCAAACCCATTAGCCGCTCCTCAGAAACCCTCTACAGGGTCTCTGTGAGTGGAAACCTACTCACCGGCACTAAACACCACCAACAAGCTTTAGAGAGCTGTGTTTGTACAAAATTGTGTTTTTACAAATAGAAGCTTGGGCCAACTCTGAATCAAGTCTGTCAGCACCATGTTTCCAACACCTGTGCTCACTTCCGGTCTCTGCGTTCCGTCTTGGCCTTTTTCGCAATACTATAAACTTTTTCATGATGTTATTGTCTGCGCACTAAAGTATACTGTAACTTTGATATGCACTCAGAAACCGAACACTTCAGGTGACTTGCTCGATTGTGATACTCGCTTTATTGTGGGGGTCTGGAACTGAACCCACAATATTGCTGAGGTATGCAGACGCATCCAGCTCTGTGGATCATATGTTGTTGACGGGCATTGGGCTTCCTCGGAAACTTTCATTAAGAATAATGCAAGCCCAGAGGAGGGGAACAGAATAGTAAATAACGGAGACTGGGAGATGGTGCTCCAAAGACTGTCTTCCAGAACAAAGGACCAAGGGACTTATATACTATGCTATGCATTGGGAAGTTGTACATATTTATAAGAACTTGAGGGAAAACATGCTTAATTTATAAAGGGGCAGGCTTGATCTTAGACCAGAAGTGGTCCTTGGACCCCGCACTTTGGAAATGGGTCCAGATAGCTCCTGGTAAACAACATCCAGTGATTTTTGTTCCTGACAAGGATTTACTTGTTTTGTGCTGGGGTGTCTCAGAGCCAGTAGTTCCATTTCTGTGTATCTCTCAGGATTCGATTCTAACTAATGCCCTAAAAACAATTTCTCGTGGTTTGGATAAAGGGAGGTATGGACTCAGTAATTCTTATTTGTGTCAGACTCCCTCCAGTTTTCAGATGACAGGGATTTTTCACAAGATAAGCAGGTAGCTCAAGAACAGTGTTGGTTTCCATATTCTAGTCAGTGGCCTGCCTATTGTTGTTAATTCCCCTGGGGCAGGGGACTTCCCTCCCTATACGGAGAGACTGTGAGTCAGAACTGATTCTCAGCGGTACTTCACTACCACAATGTTAAGGGTATTGTAGTCAGAGGGCTCGGGTTCCTGAAGCTATTTCGTGTTGTACAGGAGTGTAGGGACCTATTGGTGTGGTTGTTGAAAGTGCCATCGAGTCAGTTCCGACTCACAGAGACCTGTAGAGGGTTTCTGAGGGAGCGGCTGCTGGGTGTGAATCACTGACCGTGCGGTTAGCAGTCCAGTGCTTAGCCTACAGCACAACACCAGGACTCCTATTGGCTGTTGTTGTTGTTAAGTGTTGTTGAATCAGTTCTGATGCATAGCAACTCTATATAGAGTTTCTGAGGGTTTGAACCATCAACTTTGTGGTTAGCAGTCAAGTGTTTATCCTATAGCGCCGACGGGAGTTCTCTTGCTTGTCTGGCGTGTTGTTGTTGTAAGTGTCGTTGAACCGATTCCGACCCATAGCGACCCCATGTAGGGTTTCCAAGGAGCAGAAGGTGAGCTTGAACCACTAACCTTGTGATCCAAACGGCTTTGCAGTCTGATGCATTAACCCACAGCGCCACGCCGGGACTCCTGTAGTCTGACGCGTTCTCACTAAATATTTGCAGGGAGCTGAGCAGTAGTAGGAGGAGGCTCAGAAGTCTCCTTGGTTGGAATGAGCTGGAATCCTTGAGTCATAATCATTTGGAATTGGGTTTTTTGAATCTGTGATGCAGTGAATTTAGTAATTAAATTGAGTATACAGGGAACAAAGGATAACCATCAAATAAAAGTTACAAGGACCCTAATAATATGGGGCAGAGTCATGGGAAGGCAGGTATGAGCCCTGGTACAGTTTGTGCTGGCTTTCTGGAGCTACTACTCAACTTGGTTATAAAGTTTCTTTAATTCCAGTTCGACTTGCCCAGTCGTGGTGATGTGAAAACAGCAGCTAGATGGCCTTCTGGGTTTCCGTCCTTCCAGCTTTTTAGTAGAACCATGGCTCCTGCTGGGGGGTGGTGGTGTTCTTTGGTGCCGTCCAATCCGTTCTGACTCATGGCGACCCTGTATAAGGGTTTTGAGAACAGCTGCAGGGTTTGAACTGCCTTCGTTCCAGTTACTGGTCTAGTACTTGCCCTACACTGCCGCACAGAGCTCCCTGGCTGGATGGAAGGGTTCCCTGGTATTGGGAGTGGGTAACACCGAGAGCTGTAGGTCTGAAGTGCCTCTTGAACTTAGATTGAAATTAATAACATAAGAGTTAGTTTCTTAGTCTGTATTGTCCTCTGCCTATAGGCAAGGTCTACCATACGTTACCTCAGAAGGACTTCATTGTAATATTCCTGTGGGCGCTGCTGGAGATAAAAGTGAGCCAGCTCTCCTGAATGTCTTGGCACAATTTGGTCAAGCTTTTTAAAGTGTTTGGTTCACCATTTCTCCTTTCCTGGTTGATTGTAATCTGTCCGTAGCTTACA